AAGATGCTCCAAGGTGCTGGTGGAAAAGTTGGTGTTGAGATGGATTGGTGATGCCTCAAATATATAGGGGGAAATGTGGGGCCCAAACTCTTTGTTCAATGGGTAATGACCACCCATCACCACATGTCTTCTTCAATCTTGACCAAGTCACCTCCTCTTGATAGGTTGCAAAAGGTGAAGGTACAACCAATAAATGTGATGGAAAGACCATTACATCATGGTACAAAATGAACTCATCCAAGTCTCATCATCCCATAACTAGGTTCAATCTTCCATGCAACCAAGTAATTATATTTGAACTTAGCATTAACTCCCAATAATATCCAAGAATATGAATATCATAATTTTGTTCAAATCCAACTAGATGCAAAATTTACCAACAATAAAGAGTTTTTTAGACAATAATTAAATTCTTAACCTTTCATCACCTCTTAACATAATTTGGACAAAAAATATAGAATATGAGCAAAATGGGTACCAAAGATACAATAAAATAGGGGTATAGAACAACAAATAACTCCAACAAAAGGAGAGTTATCAATGACTTTTACCTGATAAGTGAGGATGATGACTCTTACTATGGTTAGCGTTTACCAAGATAAATTGTTGCACACGATACGTTTTAATAAATAAAATCTTACCCGATAAATAAACGATAATATTGAATTTACTGGTAAGTATTTAGGTAAACAGCCTCTTAGTCTCCAAACATAAAAAAGAGAGGAACTTAGTTTTTAGTTCATGTGGTTTGTTGAATTATTTTTTTCTTAGATTATGAAATTACAATTTTCATTCTTATGATTTATAATTAAATACTTTTTTTGGTCTTATGATTTAAAATTTATTATTTTTTTCATTTTTATGATTTACAATTAATTTCTCTTTTCATACTTAAAAGTAGTATTTTGACCTCAAGGACGAAAATAAAAACGAATTACAAACTATAAGATTGAAAAACAAATTTTTGAAACCACAGGGAGGAAATCAGCAATTTTTAAAAAACCATAGGGACAAAAAATGTAAAAAATATATATTTGGTCTTCGTGGTTTGTTATTTGCAACACTTTTGTTCCAGTTTCAAAATTATGACTATTGTAGTTTGTAAAAACGACTGAATTTGATCTTTCTCTCTCTAACGTCCATTAGAAGAATTTGTTAAGTGAATGGTAGTTTGATCTTTTTATAATTTTAATCACATTTTTCTAGAAAAAGGAGCGGTCAGTTGTGCTTATTGAAAAAGTGGATAAGTAAACAACATACCTCTTAATGGGATAAGTGGTTCTTGTTGGGTAAGAGGCTAATAAGGGGTAAGTAAACAGCCCCTTAGTCTAATATATACAAAAAAATTAACCATACTAGGGGTGTGCAGAAAATCATTCGATCCAATTAGAACCGACCAACCAAAATCTGATATCCAATTGTATCTATCTAGATATATACAAAGAAACATCAAGTATATGCTACGTGCAAGAGAGTTCTGTGTCCTTTCATGAAGATGCTTCTAGAAATCTTCCACAAAAGCTCTTTATCCATTCTCGAAAGCTATGGAAGCTTCAAATTTGGTTTAACCTATGTTAAAAGGGTCCTATATTTGATAGATCATCATATCATGGTTGTTAACATCACTCTAAGGTAGCGTTTGGTTTACATGATGCTTTTGGATGAAATAGAATTTGTCAAATGAAATTAACTTTGAAAAAGTTGGAATAAAATGTTATCATGTTTAACCACATGTTTAGTTGACGGACATTAAAAAGAAATACGTTAAAGAAATTAAAATCTATTTATTTGGTTCACAGTAAGTAGCTTTGCAATTACCAAAATACTCACTTTTGTAAAACTTGTTGCAGAGCTTTTTTTACCACATAAGAAAGCGACATAAAAAGCCACATTTTGCTTGTAATCTTACAAACTCAATGAACCAAATTTTACTTTTTTCAAGTCAATTAGCGGCTTAAATAACTCATTATCCACACTTGTCCCATGTTGTACTACACAAATTAACAAAACAGGAACAAGTATGACCAGTACCTTATTCTATCTGAAAATACATCCGAATTGCACTTTTACGACAAACGAACAAACTAACTAACACATAAAACGTACGTGGACCAATCTGACAAACATGATTTGATTGATTCAATCGTTGATCAGTGTGGGTAAGCTTTGTGTTGCGGTCTTTTTTTACAACTACTGCCAGCTGCTGTTATTTACTAAGATCACGCGATTGCTGTCATATCCCTGTTTGATCTGTTGTATTTCATGTGGCTCTTAACCAACTGCCCAGAAGAAATGGCCGACATCAAAGACAGTTCCCCAGCCAATACTGCACCAGCTACTATTGTTGCCAGCACCCTTGCATTTGACCCTGGGGACTCTTTGCTTGCACCCTTCACTCCAAGTAGATTCAAGCAAGCAGATTGAGATGCCAATTGGGTCCCACCTCCTACTGTTCCAACCTGCAACAATTACCGCTATTCATGAATGCTTGATGGGGAAGATAAGGATCCTCTACTCTCTGGGGGGAGAAAAGGAAGAGACTATACCTCGATGGAAGGCATGGTAACAGAGATGTGTAGGTCTTTTCCACCATTGATAGCTTCCATCATAGTAATGCAGTGAGAGCTCTCGATGTTTTGGGCAGGGTCTTGACCGGTGGCTATAAAGACTGCTGAAACAATATTGGCAGCATGGGCATTGAAGCCACCAAGAGAACCTGCAATAGCTGAACCAGTAAGGTTCTTAAGCATGTTAAGCTCTACAAGGCCAGGCACTGTGGTTTTTAGCACCTTCTTCACCACCTCCTCGGTGATGACTGACTCACAAACAACAGACTTTCCACGCCCTTCAATCCAGTTCACAGCAGCTGGTTTTTTATCTGAGCAAAAATTTCCTAAACAACCAACAATACACACGTCATGACTAAACAAGCTTCCTGCAAGATGCTGATAATGTGGAAAACTGAAAGGGTTAAAGTGCAACTGATATTAATTGTTACTCGTAGGTCCACTAAATTAATACAAGATCCATTATCCACTTAAGGACTTCATATCAGTGTGCTCTTGAAATGGAGATCTAAATATTTTACCCAAAAAGAGTTCCACATATAATGTAATTTGATGATTACCAGACAAAATGAAGCATCGGTATCGTGACCATGGTTCAAGACCCAGATGCAGAGTTAATGATAAATGCATTACGTAAAGGAAGTAATGTCTGAGATAGGGAGGCAAGATAAACAATAGGAAGACTGAGACATAGGAAGGGGACATATTTATATATCCATATACCACATGTATATGATAAACACATGCTAGATAATAAATGTATGGATGTTTTTGAACAATAATGACCCAAGAGATTTTTGCTCCTTTTTTGGTGTAAAGGGAGTTGATCCTTGTACACATAAGCATTTCTTTTTCTATAGAATATCGAAATCCCTCTATTTCTTGCGTGTGCCAATTGAAGTATTTCAAGAAATGATCACTCCTTGAATCAGACATGAGTCTAAGGTTAACCTGAATTTTATCAAGCATACATACAGGATTTAGTAGTTCATAGTTCATACACATTTGATTTGTTGCTTCATCACAAAATTTTGTAGTTTCCTGTTCAACCCCTTTTTGAATGGAAGACGAGCAAATCACATGTCACCAAATTCTTGAATCTAGCCTTACTAGCTAAATTTACCAGTTCACTTTTGATTTCTGAAACATAGAAATTGAAAGGAATTGGAGGACTCACCAGATATACCAATCACATCCATGTCTGGAAAATCAATTTGAAGAAAATCTAAAACATTTTGGACGCCCTTAGACACCATGTTCATCCCCATTGCATCACCCGTGCTGCAAGTAAATCTGATATATAGATTTTTCCCAGCAATTGAGCATCGAATGCTTTGAAGCCTAGCAAATCTGCTCGATCTGATATAATAGAACATAATTACAAATCAAGACCCTCAAAACTAGGTATGCATTAAAAATGGTATCAATATGAAACCAAACCCATCAAGCAAAAGGAAAAACTATCAAGCACAAATTAATTGGATACACGCGGGGGAAGACACAAAGTCAGCATCATGTCATATACTACCATTTAAAACACACCCCCCCCCCCCCAAAAAAAATCAAATTCAGTAGAGAAAATAGGCATTTCATGTCAAAATCATACACATCAAAAGTAGCAAGTACAGTCCAAAAAGTACAATTGACCATATTTTTGTCATTTCCTACCTAGGTAAGTAGCTCATCATAATAAGCAATGCTTATTTGCAGAATGTTCTATTAAAAGAAAAACTATGGCCAGTTGAACCCAAAAAGAAGCCCTAATGCAGTGTTTGGTTACAGCTTACACATGTATGGCAACAAATCTGTAAAGCATGATACAGAACCCCCTTGCAATCTAAACTTAATGTAACTGAAAGGATTTTTGTTGTTGGAGTTAATGGTAATCTAATCTGCCTTCTGTAGTTAAATTTCAAATTAGAAACTTAGTAGAAGTAAATGCAGCCCTCGTTGGCAGTCACTGTCCTTGTCAATAGATATTGAGAAATCACTTTCTATCTTAAGAAGTAATTTACCAAGAATGGACTACAACTGAAAGTGGAAACACCCAAAAGAGGGATCTTACTTATTAAAAACGATGCTCAATGTATCAAAATTGATGGGATCTTCCAAGAAGAACTTAAGGTGAGCACTCCTTGCTGCCGTCCCAAACCTCACGACAGGCGCTCTCGTCATCCCATCCTTCAACAAAATCGCCGTGGCTCCGCCGGATGCAAATATAGCTTTACAACCCCTATTTGTGCTAGCAACCAAACACCCCTCCGTCGTAGCCATGGGCACCATGTACTCACCACCATTCAACAACAAAGGCCCAGCAATTCCAATAGGGAGCTGAACATAACCAATAGGCATCTCACAACACTGCCCCAATATCGAATCGTAATCAAATCCTTCCAGCGGTAACCCTAACAACGACCTCCCCGTTTTTTTCTCTAACGCCTCCCGTCGAATCGACGCAGCTCTACGGCAATCTCCAAGCTTTGATTCGAGAGAATACGAAGGAAGCGATCCAGAAACTACAGATTTCACAATCTCTTCGTCCTTTTCAGATATAAGAGTAAGAGCCGGCGGTAGAGGATCCATAATTCTAGGTTTAGGTTTAGAATGATGTTCGACGTCGTCTTCGAGAGTGAAGTTGTCCTCGTCAACACGAGAGGTGGCGATGAAGGATTGGACGAAATCGATGCCAAAGAAGCCTAGAAGGTAGATAAAGGAGGCAATGAGGGAGACGATAGCGGCAAGTTCGGAGAGGGTAACGACGTGAAGAGGCGTAGAGGAGCGGATTTTGTCGCGCCAACGGTGAAGGAGGAAGTAGGCAACACAGAAGAAAAGAGTAAAGAAAATACCGTTTGTTAGGTAGAGAGGAAGAGGTAATGCATCGGAGGCTTTTGGAAGAGGAGACGGTGACCGGTGATCGACGACGGTGTCGGTGGAGGAAGATGATCGATCGGTGTTGTTTATATTGTTGGAAGTAGTTTTCCGGTGGCGAACGATGGCAGGGGTGGATGGAGGTTTAGGAGGCAGTCCCCGGCGGAGATCCATGAAAATGGTAATGGAAGTGGTGGTGGCGGTTGGGGAAAGGCGGCGTATGATCGGTGGTTTCGTGGGTGCATTTATACATATGACTTATATGCGGTGACGTGGGGTTGTACGGCAATAACTTTTGATGCAGTTGTAGCGTTCACTTGCTGCATACTACACGTGTCGTCCATCTAGTTGATCTTGTTTTCCCTTTTTGGCTTAGTTAATTTTTAACGGGTAAAATGCTATTTACATCACTCAAAACATTTTTATTAGTTAATATTTTTAAAGAAAAAGTCTAAAAAAATACAATAAATTTTAGTGTTTTAAATGATTAAGTTTTTGAATAATTTTTTGAAACAAATAAATTATTGGACATTTTAAAACATGTTAAATAACTATTTGGACTTTCTAAAATCTGTTGGATACATTCTAATAACTTATATAACTGGTTAATGTGGTAAAATATTAGAAAAAATCTAAAAAAACCCAATGAACATTTATATTTTGAACGATTAAATCTATAAATATTTTTTGAACAAAAAGAGAACTTAAATCTATAAAATGAAACAAATATACTAAAAAAGTACTTACATTTACAAAAAGTACTTACATTTAAAAAAATTGATAAAATATTAGAGAAATGAATGTGTCAAACTAATAGATTATTTAGGTCTTTGAATCATATATTGTGGCCAGTAAAGAACTTTAGGACAATAACACATATATGTTTCAATATGACCATGTGGAACACCATGGTAATGACATAATGATTCGTGTGTTGCAAAATACACATCGACACATTTTCTTTCGAGCAAAATGCAAAGTGAGGCAATTAACAAAAATTGCAACTGTTGACTTCTACAACACAAGAAGCAACATACCATCATAATATGTTCTCTCGAATACCTATAAACTTTTGTAAACCCTGATCCTTAGCCAATACAAGAATGAGACCATCCTAAAATCTAATGATATAATACAAAAATATTTCATTATTACAATGAATACACGGTGATATTCATGGACATAAACATCCAGAATGCGAGCCCTTAAATTATTTTATGGTTCTGGTTGACGCATCGACACGATGGACACATGTCGCGCTATTGTCCACATGAAACCGCTGCATTAGCATAACTTATAGCACAAATTATACGTTTGAGGGCTCACCACCCCGATTATCCTATCAAGTCTATACGACTTGATAATGTTGAAGAATTTACATCGCAAGCATTTGATGATTATTGCATGTCTATTGGGATCGATGTAGAGCATCCCGTACCTCATGTACATACACAAAATGGTCTTGCAAAAGCTACTATCAAAAGGATAAAAATGGTATCTAGGGCATTGGTTATGCGCACCAATTTACCCACTTTTGCATGAGGTTATGGAATATTACATACAACATGGTATGTTAATTTTCACACCCTTAGACTTATAAAAGGGTCTACAAAGCAAGTATACAATATGGTCCAATGTCGTCTTTTCTAAGTAATGAAGTGGTAGAAATCGGTTATTGTCCACGGAGATTGTAGTAAAAGCTTAAAAAGAGTACAATGAAAGAAATAATTTCAGATGATGACATTGAAGACTTCAGTTGGATCTGAGTTAACAATAATGAAATAACATAATATAAAAGGGTAGCATGAGTGTAAGACTTGTGGGGAAATGTAAACACAAATTCCAACAGACAATGTTGTAGGAATGCTACAACGTGCAATAGACCATAACTAGTTTACCATATATTTTGAAGGTATTCCTCTCGGACTTCCATCATTGCACTATATTATAGCTTTCAACTCATATCTCTATGTAGTATCTGGACCAGGGATAATGACGAAATGGTATCTTCAAAATATATGGATAAACAAATCGTTTTGTTAAAAATCACTCTTTCGAGCCGATTCCCATATCATTGAAGTTAGCGTGTGTTCTATGTAGTTCATCTCTGAATCTACCGCACTTTAAGACTTTTAACAAGCGACCAACATGTCGAGAATTAATTAGTTTGAAAAATATAAATGACAAGTCTTCTTGTCGGCAGTTTTTTCAAGTCTACTTCTCATATCATTCAAGTTGACATGCATTCAGTGGCTTATCTTTAAGACTATGACACTTTAACACTTTCAAAATGGTCAACTCGTCAAGAAGTGTCAGTGGTTTTTATAAAAATTTGAATGAAATGGTGGAACGTTATTATTGTGAAACAACGTCCATTTTTCTTCGGTTTAACATTTCACCATTTGTCTTACACCAAGCTAAATGGAATTAGCTATTCATTACAGAAATTAAATGACAAAAAAATATAAAGAACAGAAAGTAAAGACATAAATATAAATGACGGAAAGTAAATGACTGAATGAAAATAGCGAAAAACAAATGGCAAGAAAAGTAAAAACAAGAATGCTGCAACAATATATCTTAGGATGCGTTTGGTATGCAGACTACATGGGATAGGACGAGACAAAAAAAAATAGTCTCAAGTTTGGCATACCATGGACAAAAAAAACATGAGACAAAGTGAGACTATTTTTAATTTTAATGAGACAAATATTGATATTTATTGTTCCACCAAAAAAGGTAGAACAACATGGGATTAAAGTTAAAATGACAATATTTTGGTTGATTTGTTGTCATTTTACAATCATTATATGATATAAAATAAAATTGAACAACATTTAGGGGTAATATGGTCATTTTAATAGTTTTGTTCTGCCATATCCTAGTCGTACCAAACATAGGACAAACAATTAGTCTTGTCCCGTCCCATCCTGTCCCGTACTGTCTCGTCATGTCCCGTACCGTCTCGTCTTGTCCCATCCAGTATGCGTACCAAACACTACTTTAAAGAACAATTTTTTAAAGAAATTCAAGAACTAACTTAAATATGCTAAGAAGCTACAGATCTAAATATGATGAAAATGATATCAAAAAGAGTTATAAGAGGTCCTATTTATACAAAAACTTCAAAGAAGAAGACAAAACTCTTGGGAAAGCAAGGGATCTTGAAAAGGAGACAAAAGACACAAAAGTAAAATAGAATATCACATCAAGTACAAAAAACACTTTCCAAAAGTCTTCTACTTCAAATCTTCAGTTCTTTAACCAATAGTTCAACAAAAGTTTGTCTTTTTCTTCATGCAGCAACTAAATTCATAAAGCCCTTCTAAAAAGCCGCTTCTTACAGGTCAATGCTGATGGAATGCTGCAACACAGAATAATAGTCATTTAAGTTTAAGATTTAGCTACTTTAATTGTGTAAAGACAAGCTAATCACTTAATTTAGCTCCAAATATAAAGAAATGGAAAATAATATAATAAAAAGGGACTCAAGGTTGGGATAAAAGAAAATAAACTACCTAAAAGTAAAGAAATAAGCGTTTTATGCCTTGAATAATCAATGCATATCACAACACTACTCGCTTTAGACCCACTGCTAGCCAACGATTTCCTGTGTACCAATTGGTAACTGGATATAAGCCTGATATTTCACATTTATGCAAATTTGGTTGAGCAGTATACGTGTCAATTGTGCCCCACAACATACTAAAATGGGCCTTCATAGACGATTAAGCATATATGTTGGATATAAATCCCCAACAATTATCCACTATTTAGAACTTTTGATGGGTGATCTATTTACCGTAAGATGTGTGAATTATCACTTTGATGAGATAGTCTTCCCGTCGTTAGGGGGAGATAGGAAAAAAGATTTTCCAAGAGAACGACATGAATTGTCATGGAATATTCTCACTCTATCTCAAATTGATCCTCGCACTTCACAATGTGAAAGTGGAGTGAAACGAATACTAAATCTTTAAACGAATCAAACTCGATGCCTGATACGTTTAATGTTATTCAAGGAGTGACAAGATCACATACCAACTACAAATATATCCACAAGGTTAAAATAATCAGATGTTTACTCAAGTAAAAGGGTTTCTTTAGGTTGAAACTATTCAACATGGTTGCACCTGTGATCATTGAAGACTGGAATTAAAGAGCGAAAGTTGAAGAAACTAACACGCACACTAGCACAGGGAGAACGACCCACTTCCATGGTTGCTTGGCCCTATAACCCATCATTTATTTGTGCGTAATAGGACTAAAATCTATAGTAGAAATACGCAAGAAAATCCATGGTTGCCTAGCCTATTGATGGACAAGTAAACAAGATTCGATGGGGTTTTAGATTTTGATGAAATTTCATGGCTGTGTGCATACCTTCTGCAACCACATTTGAGGTCAAAAAGGAGTTGGTAAACTTCATCAAAAACATTTCTTGAATCCAATAAAAAAAGACGATGGTCGTCGAGTTGTGGCAGGAGGAAGACGAATAGACAATGGTTACGAAGTCACGTTGGTGGAATTCAAGGAGGTACGTTCGTATCGGCAATGGAGTTCCATATGTGCAATTCATGGTAAGCGCTAATTTATTTTAGGAATCAACACTATAATTTATTTTATTGGGTAAGATTGTAGTACATCAAAACATATCTTATACAACAATTTACCTGGTAAGCACTTACCCGGGTAAGAGTCATCATCCTCACTTACCGGGTAAGACTTTTCATCCTTATTATCACTCTTACCGGGTAAAATTCTTGGCTCTCGCCATGTTCATCAGGTGATGAAAATTACCCGGTAAGTACTTACCGGGTAAGCGTTTTAGTAAACGGTAAGAGGTCGTTTACCTAAACACTTATCCGGTAAGCTTTTAACGGTAAAATTTAACGTTATTACTTACTTACCTACTAAGATTTTAGTCTACCAAAACGACATAGTATGTAACAACTTCTCTAGTAAGTGCTAACCGTGATAAGAATTGTCACTATCACTTACCGGGTAAGACTCTCGGTCTTTGTTTTCGCTCTTACCGGGTAAGATTCTTGGTCTTTGTCATATTCATCCAGTGAGGTAATGTAACTTGGTAAACACTTACCCAAGTAAACATTTGGTAAACGGCCCTTAAATATTACAAACTGTTTAGCATATGGAGTCCTAAATATATAAATAAACCAATCTAATTGTT